GATACGGTCATCTGTAACAATCTGCCATACGAGTGGATAAACATTTTCCCGATTACGAATATTATGCACAATCATTTGTGTTACAACCTTGAAGCGGTTTTCAGCACCACCTAAAGCAAAAGCAGAAATATACCATGCTTCAACCTAAAAGATTCTAGGAGTATTTCGCTGTTCTTCCTCATTAGAGTAAAGAGGGGAGTGAGTCCTCGGGACGCTTTCTCCTCCCAGTATATGTGATTATTTAATTCAGTTCTGTCGTTTAAATAGTTTTTCTTATGTTTATTTTTTCTCCGCTGCAATTCGTGTTCACCTCTACCTCCATATTAGACGTAAGGTAGGTTTTCCACTATTTATTTATTCACCCCCGTTGCCTCGATCTGTGTCTCACGAACGCTCGTGGAATTTGTTCGTGTCGTGTCTTGAAACACGAACGCCGCGTAATCAGCGTTGAACAAAGGCAGTGCGCTTGTTTCGTTGCTTGGCAATTGTCCAATATTTGGGCTGGCTAGGGGGAAGCCTTTGTCTTTAAAGTCTGTTAATACCTTGCCTTGTCAAGATCATTGTTTGGCATGGCGTAGAGACGAAGTACCAAGAACGACAATGACTTGCAAGCGCAGTTAGTTTCGATGTATAATGAGGGCTAAATGGCAGGACCATGCAAGAAATGACACTCTTCTCGGCTGATGCAGAGATTACTAGATGGAGGTTCGTCTTGGCAGTGAAACTGGTTTAGCAAAAACATTTTCTCCGGTCCGAGAGCTTCTCGAGTGGAAGACAAGATACAGCTGAAGTCAGCGTGAAACACGAAGGAACGACGTAGAGGCAAGTCTACTGGTGGACAAGTATTTTTTCTCCTGCGATTCAGTTGCTAGCACCTAACAACCAAAGTGCTCAAAAGCTTCGGATGCAACAAACATGGTAAACGAGAGACGTTCTACTTATACAAATGGTTCAAGGCGCGGTGTCAACACACACACGTAAATAATTCACACTTGTGTCTCAGCAAAGTGCAAAGCACCCTGAAGAAGGTGTACTGTACACAAACCGACACCACGCCATGTGACATATCCGTTACTACAGTACGGCGACCGGTGTGACTGTGCCTGTTTTACGAGAACAGGCAGGTCGGAACCGAGAAGAATCACTCAGTATATCCTAGTGCCCTAAACTCCTATGTGATGAGGCTACGACCGCCTTGTTTCTGACCATGTTCAGCAACGAACTCGGATGATGGAGAAAACAGACACGGAACGCGATGGCGGAACTTTTCATCCAGCCGTCGACGGTGCCGTTTGACAAGTTCAGTCGTTATGCGACTTAATTGATGAAGTTTACGAGCAAATGAGATCTTGCGGCTTTCTGCCTCAATCGACAGAAATGGCGGTGGTGAAAAATATGAAATGGTTTAACCGACGTGTCGAGTCGTCGAGTTCTCGAGGCTTCATCGCAGCCTCTCGGCTGTTACATCGAGTACCATATTTTCCCTGTGGACGACACGACACGCAAACTGGGAGCCTCAACTCTAACGTCGTGACGACCGCTCAAGACGACGTCGGACCACCTCCGCTAACCCTCGCCGTCGTCCTCGTCGTCGTCGGTGATTACGTGGTCGCTGGAAGAACAGAGTCATTGACTCGGTGAGGCAACGAGTCAGAGAGTCATACAAAGAAGAACGCCGTGTGGCACCCACGCACCCACCTAATTGCATTGTGGTCCACAACGGGGATCATGAATTAATTAGTACTGAGACATTAGCGACCGAACGCGAACTTCTGGCACTCATTCAAACAGTCGCGACGGAGATAATTGTGATCACATGGATAGCGACAACAAACAATTTAGAAGAATGGCTTTTCGCTGATGATTTGAA